TATGTGACGAGTGGGGGTGGGGCCGAGAGCCGTGGGAACGGAGCGAGGCCGGTGGAGTAATTGATAATGAGCGACACCTGCACCACTTACCGGTCTCGAGTCTCACGGAGGAGCTCCGGAAGGATAAAAGGGAGGAGTGACGACAGTGTCGGACGAGAGAGGACCAGGCCTGGACTTTATTTTGTGTTTTGTGTGCGGCAGTTGTCCGCGAGGGGCTGCCGCTTTACTTTCATTTTGTGTTTGTTTATTTGATTAAAGTTTTGTTTAAATGTTCGCCGGTTCCCGTCTCCTTCTTCCCGACCTACGAACGTTTGTTACAGGGCCATCTACTTGAAACCCAGAAACGGGAGACAGCACAGTCTAGGCAAGGGGCTCAAGGAGACCACTACTTAAAAACCGTAAAAAAGGGGAGCAGTCTCAGAGCTGGAACACATTATCCTCGAGTAGCAGATTCCAGACAAAGACTTTAGCGCTTACTTGAGAAGAGCTTGTGCCAAGGGGAACCAAACCTAGTTTTAGACGCCCAGCTAGAACATAGCTGCCCTCAGACCGCTATATTCCAGAGCAAAGTAAGCTCAAGCTGGAGCATAACCATCTGCAGACAGCTACACTCTGAGCAGAGGCTGTTCACTTAAAGCCCTAAAGAGGGGGAGCAGTCTACTCAGCCCAAATATATTAAGCGGGATTCAGAGGGACCGCCTGCTTAAAAATACCCAGAAGCCTGGGGAGGCAGTCCACTCCTAAACCCATCCGGCTTAACACAGGAAGAAACATTCCCCAAAACCACTCTAAGTCACTGAAACTCTCTGGGAGAGATAGCTCGCAAGCATCTCTTCACAGAGCATTCAATATATCCACGCCCAGCGAGGCTTTCCAGACACAATAACATGCATATTAGAGAGGCACAGCTGAGCTGAATATAGCTCCGCCCGCAATCTTGCAATTTCACATGCTCAGAGCTAAAAACGACTCAGTGCTTAAATCTCATCATTATAGCAACACGAGCATTAACCGCGGCATCCAGGGCTGGCCCTGGGCTGCGTTTCCCAAAAGCATCGTAAGCCTAAGCTGATCGTAGCTCCATTGGTTTCAATGGGCCTACGATGTACTTAAGCTTACGATGCTTTTGGGAAACGCAGCCCAGGCCAATTTGCTGCCCTAGGCAAGATTTTACCTGGTGCCCCTTGCCTCACAGCCAATAATCATTGTGTTCAAACATTCACACAGAAACTGCATAGCTAGATATTGAGCCCTTTAAAGCTGCACTGAAACTGTTTGATAGCCGTTGAAGTCCACTATAAGGAGAATAATCCTGGAATGTTTTCATCAAAAACCTTAATTTATTTTCGACTGAAATAAGAAAGATGTAAACATCTTGGATGACATGGGGGTGAGTAAATGATCAGGACATTTTAATTTGAAAGTAAACTAATCCTTTAAACTGAGATAGAAAAAAATCTTCAAACCTTTAAAGTATACACTATGCCAGATATGCTTTAATCTCTCTCTCTCTCGCTCTCTCTCTCTCTGTGTATGTGTGTTCTAGGGTAAACTTGGGGAGAAGACCGGATACTTGCCCATAACTTACATCATCAGGGTGCGAGCCAGCGAGAGGGTGTATAAAGTGACACGCTCCTTTGTGGGAAACAGAGAGATGGGCCAGATTACCCTGAAGAAAGATCAGGTCAGTGTGAGTCTGTGTGATCCCAAAAGCATCGTAAGCCTAAGCTGATCGTAGCTCCATTGGTTTCAATGGGCCTACGATGTACTTAAGCTTACGATGCTTTTGGGAAACGCAGCCCAGGCCAATTTGCTGCCCTAGGCAAGATTTTACCTGGTGCCCCTTGCCTCACAGCCAATAATCATTGTGTTCAAACATTCACACAGAAACTGCATAGCTAGATATTTCAAAAGTGCATCTGAAGAGAGAAATGGAGGAGTATATGTGACTATTGGGTGTTACATTTTCTCATTAAAACAAGTTGATGTTAGTGAAACGGTAACATTTACAATAAGGTATCATTTGGTAATATTAGTGAATGTATTAACTAACTTGAACTGACAAAAATAATAAATACTGATACAAATGTATTGTTCATTGTTAATGTTAGTTATGGAAAGTTAACCTTATTTTAAATTGTTTCCAGTGAAACTATAAAAATGTAGGTGCTGCCTAAGTCAAATTACAAATTAAACACAAACAGTTAGAATAATTACATCTGGTATTCCTGCAAAAAAATAATACAGTTTTGTTTGAACACTTCTATAGCATACAGTAAGTAACATTACTGTTTAATCTTAAAAATAAATGTGAAGTTTTCAATTTTCAGTAGATGGCAGCAATGTTCTACTAAACTATAGCCCTTTCTAACATTATCACCACGAATTAAACTGAGAAACTGTACATCTTTAAAGTGAATTTTACATAAAATGTTGCTATTTTTAATAAGTCCAGTTATATACAAACATTACTAAATTAGCCAATTCAAATCAAAAAAACGTATTATCATGTGACACGAACATTTTTAAACTTTTAGACAAGGCTTTCTAGACTAGGCCAACATAAAGTTTGTTCACAAACTTTTACCTCATCTAGTTTATTTATGATCATCACTCATTACATCACATCACATCACCTCTGTCTTTGTCCCGTTTTTCTTCTTCTCTTGTTTTTTTTTTCTTCTTTCCTGGGCACTAGGGCTTCAGTCTTTTGACATAGTGGTAATTTATTAGTGAACATCTATCACAATCAGGTAACTGATGTATGTGGACGTGTGGGAGGACTGATCATGCTTCGAACCGGGGTGAGTGGGGAGAGCAATAAAATAGTTAAGATTTTGTGGGACGATCGCTTTTTTGTAATGTTTTAAATTCATAGTATTGAAGTAGTATTGGTAATAAAAAATAAATAGTTAAAAACAACTTCGTATCACAAGGTATCGGCGGCAGCCCTAGCATTTGCCTATTCTGCCTATGCCACGGGCCGGCCCTGGTGGCATCAGGCAACCCAATTGTAGAGGTTATGCGGACGCCACAGATCAGAGCAAACGAAACGATCAGTCATTTTCTAAAAAAAAAAAGTATATGCTTTATAAACAAAAACGTATTACGTGAAGTCATGGACG